TGAAGATAGATTCACGAAATATAACCAAAATCAAGTAGAGAACACTTACCCCAATTCATAATTGCTTCAAGAATCGCCTCAATCCGAGCTCCATAGCTCCAAAAATGTAAAAATGACAAACCCTCGAAATAGAGTACTTTATACTTCGGCCCAGGCATCCTCTTACGCGAACGCGGAAAATCCATCGCGTACGCGATGAACAAAATCACAAAGCACAAAAAGACTCTACACGTTTGCGGCATAGTCCTCGCGAACGCGATGCACAGCAGGACCAACCCTTCGCGAACGCGGCTCCTACTTCGCGAACGCGAAGACATTTTCTCCAGCTCCTCAACTTCAGCTCTATGAGAACGCACCCCATCACGAACGCGGAACCCAATCAACTTAACTTTCGCGAACGCATTCCTTATATCGCGTTCATGAAGAAAAAATTTGCAGCAGACCATATTACACTTCGCGATCGCGGCTGGACCTCCGCGATCGCGAAGAACACTAGAAGCATCAGGTAAAAGCAGAAACCAGCAATAAAAATTGGTCCAAAATAGTCCGAAACCCATCTGAAACTCACCCGAGCCCCTCGGGACCTCGTCCAATCATACTAACAAGTCTCATAACATAACACGGACCTACTCGAGGCCTTAAATCATGCATAACAATATCGAAACGATGAATCGCACCTCAAATCGAGCTTAATGAACTTTGAACTTTTTGACTTCCATAATTCGTGCCGAAACATAGAAAACCAACCCGGAATGAACTTAAATTTTGCACGGAAGTACCAAATGACACAACGATGCTATTCCAATTCCAGGAACCATAATCCGATATCAAAAAGTCCACTCCCGGTCAAACTTTCCAAAAAGTTCAAAACTTTTTGCCATTTCAAGTCAAATTCAACTACGGACCTCCAAATCATAATTCGGACACGCTCGTAAGTCCAAAATCACCCAACGGAAGTACAGAACCATCAAAACTCCAATCCGAGGTCAAATACTAAAAAAATCAAACTTGGTCAACTCCTCTAATTTAAAGCTTCTTAGCTAAGAATCATTTTTCCAAATCAATTTCGAATAACCTGAAAACCAAAAGTGACAATTCAGATAAGTCATAATACATCATACGGAGCTACTCATGACCTCAAATCACCGAGCAAAGTGCAAATACTCAAAACGATCGGCCGGATCGTTATAGTATCTCTCTGTCATACACAGACATAAGTATTTTCTTATGAGATAGAGCCTAATAAAGGCAATATGGTGGCCCTGTTGCATAAGCACTGCCCCTATCCTATAATCACTAGCATCAATCTCCACCACAAAAGTTTTGGTAAAGTCAGTGAGAGATAATACAGGAGCTTGAGTTAGTGTTTTCTTCAGTTCATTGAAAGCCTCGGCAGCTTGTGGTGACCATCTGAATCCTTCCTTCTTTAAGAGGTCAGTTAGTGGTCGACTAATGACTCCAAAACCTCTAATAAATCTTTTGTAATAGCCTGCCAATCCCAAGAACCCTCTTAATTGCTTAACTGTGGTGGGAATGAGCCAATTCTGTATAGCTGTAATTTTCTGAGGATCTGTTGAGACACCTTCAACAGTGATAAAGTGACCCAAATATTCAATCCTTTGAACTACAAAAGAGCATCTGCTCGTGTTCGCCAATAATTGATGCCTCCTCATTTCTTCAAAGACCAATTGTAGGTATTGCATATGCTCTTGCATACTCTTGTTGTATATCAAAATATCATCAAAGAGACTAGAACAAATTTCCTTAAGAACTGATGGAACACAGAATTCATGAGGCCTTGGAAGGTAGTTGGTGCATTAGATAATCCAAAAGACATAACAAGATACTCATAGACCTGAATGAATTCTAAAGGCTGTTTTAGGAATATCAGCAACAACCATCCTTAGCTGATGATAGCCTGACCTTAGATTAATTTTAGAAAAAATCTCTGAACCACCTAACTCATCCAACAAATCTTCCACCATGGGGATTGGAAAATTGTTCTCAATAATCTGCTTGTTGAGGTTCGTGTAGTCTGCACACAACCTCCAGGTGCCATCCTTTTTACCTACTAAAACTACATGAGATGCAAATGGGCTGCAACTAGGCTGAATTATGCCTTGATCCGACATTTGTTGCACCAAGCCCTCAATGATGTCTGTTTTTACTGCAGGATACCTATAAGGTCTTTTATTTATAGGTTCAGTACCATTTTGAAGAATAATTTGGTGATCAGACATTCCTCGAGATAGTGGTAATGCAACAGATTCAACAAATAAATCCTTGTACTTCTCTCGCAGTAAGGTTAAACCATGATCATTTCTGCAATTTTCACCACTAGTCTCTAAAGAGTACCACCACATACTCTTATCTTCTACACATGGAATAACCTGAATCATTACAAGTTGAGGTTGATTACCTTATAACTTGGCTATCTTTCCAGTATTGGAATATGTGATTTGATCACCAGCACCCCTGAGCACATGTTTCCTTCCTTTGTAAAAGAACTCCATAGTGAGTTTCTTGAAGTTCATCTTGATATCACCTAGTGTGATCGGTCATTCAATACTTAGTACCATATCATAATTCCAAAAGGCAACAACATGAAATTGGCCTCAAATTCAGCACCCTACAATAGCCAAGATAATCTGCAAGCAGTATCCACTTTCATACCACTACCATTTTCAGCAGCAACTATCTGAGGACGGGTGGTTGTTACAGGACATCTCAGTTACTTCACCAAATCAGAGTTGATAAAGTTGTGCGTGCTTCCAGTATCTATGGGAATGTGATAAGGTTCCTTAGCATTATAGCCAGTAACTCTCATGAATTTGAACCCCATAGAACCATTCAATGCATAAACTGATATTTTAATGTGTTATGTCTGCTCAACCAACTCTAGTACTTGTTCTGGATTTACAGAGCTCTCATCATCTTCAGAATATCCAAGATCCAGTTGTTCTTCAACTTCTAATGCATAAATTTGCTTAAGGTTTCTTGCATTTGTGACCTTACACATACTTCTCATTGCATAAGTAGCACAAGCCTTTGGTCCTTTTCTCGTTGACTTCCTCAACACTCAGTCTTCTTCTGTTAAACCCTCTATTAAAAGTTGTTTGTTGGTCTTTCCTAGGAGCAGGCAAAGCCAACAATGGTTTGTTCTATTATTTCTGATCCAAATTCCTTTAAAAATTTGTGGTCTGTGTTGGAGGTAATTATACCCTCTGCATAATCTCATTGGACTGAGCATCTATGTAAGCTTCTTGCATCCTGGCTGCTTTAAATGCTTGAGCAAGAGATCTTCGATTGGTCATCTTCACTGCTATGTTTAGTTGTTCCTTCAATCCTCCTACGAAGCAACTAATTGCATTTTTCTATGATAAATTCACTCTTGTAAGACTTCTTTCAAAAGATGTCTGATACTCTTTCACACTACCCGACTGAACAATCTTTTTCAATTCTACCATAAGATCATCATAGTTCTCACCAAATTTTTCAGTTAGAGCCATAGCATCTCAATCCACGTGGGTGGTTAAGTGTAACTCCTGTATTTCATAAAAGCTTGATGCCATTCCATAGCTTTACCTTCTAAATGTACAGATGCCACCAGGAGTTTTTCTTCGGTACTTTATCAATTTGGAAGAATTGTTCTGCTTTGAATAACCATGGCCTCAGAATATTTCCGAAAAATCTAGAAAACGAAATCTGTTTGTACTTGGAATACTGTCGACCATCTGCTTGCTTTTCTTCGTCCTCCGTATGGTATCTTTCAGATAAGTCGTTACGATTGGATCAAGACTTAAATCCACCGGGACCAAGTGCATCCTCTTTATTCCTCTTTGATGGATTCAACAGTTGTTCCTTCAATTCACCCAATGTCTTATCCAAACCCTTTAAGTGAGAAACTTAACCCGCTAAAGAGCCTACTGTAGAGATCAATTGTTGCATTAATTCCTTGAGATCATCCAATTCTATCGTCGAATTCTCAACAGTTTTACCACCTTTCATCATTTTTATCACCGAGAATCGAAAGCTCTGATACCAATGTTATTCAAATGTAGGGATCTGAATGTAGCAGACTAGGAGCTATAACAAAGAAAGCTCGAAGCTTAGCTATAGCGATGGAAAAAGAAGAATCGAGAAGAGAGAAAAATAAAGACCGTAGGAGTAGAATGTAACTGTTATTATGATATCCAAAATGTAATACAAATCGCCTATATGTACTGTATTGAGCTCGAATGAAAAATTCCTTCTAACCACCTGTCAACTAACTCTAACTAATTTTTGACTGTTACTAACTTCCGGAACTAACTAACTGCTATTTGCTTTATTAATTCCAACTTACTATTAACCACTAATACAACACTAATTATATAACAATGCGTCAAGCTATAAATTTTTTAGGCCGTAGCCAATGGCCAGAAAATTATTCAAAGGCAGTCAAAAAGAAAACTTCAGTCATCTCATGAATATGTTTCCCACTTCACCTTCCTGCTATCATTTTTTGCGAAGGAACAATATTTCCATATTTAAGAATCGAAAACAGGATGGAAGAGAAATTGGAGACTGCACCACAAACAGCAATATGGTCCAAGAAAAAGTTGCCATACCTCAGTGTTTGGACCAACCCGCATTAGTTTACCATGGTTAAGTATAAAATTGAGGTAAAATTGGTATTATAATCAACAATTGCTAAGTGATACCAGTGTACATAAAAATACATATCATGTATTCTTGGATTGGTATAAAATCGGGTATGAGTAAATTTTTCCAACACAATCATACAAGAATGATAAAATGGATGGTTAACTTAAAAAACCAATTTAGATAAAACAGACGTCCGGTGCACAAAGTATTCCGCGTTCACGCAGGGTCCGAGGAAGAGCCAAATCCCAAGGGGTGTGATGTACGCAGCCTAGCCTGATGCAAGCATCAGTGGCTGATTCCACGGCTCGAACCCGTGACCTATAGGTCACACAGAGACAACAATACCATTTCTCCAAGACTCCCCTTAGATAATATAGATGGTTAACGGAAAAACCATTTCATCCAAAAGAATCAAAAGAGGTACAAAGTGAGTAGCACTATTAGGTACTTGGATACATCAATGCAATAGACTGAAGAGGGACAAATTCTAGCCAAGCCTAAATAGCACATTCTTCACCACGTAAATGAAGGGAGAACATATGTAGGATGTGCGCTGTTTTGCAAGGCAAGAGCATGTACAGAATTATCATCTGCGACTTCTCCAAATTTGCTAAGTCCAAGTTCAGTAGCATGGATTCCACATGTAATAAAAGCGGATGCAATTCCAGCTGCATTTGCACCTTTGATATCATGGTGTAGGGAGTCTCCTACGGCAACACAATCAGAGACATCCACATCAGTCATTTCCATAGCAGACTTGTATATTATCTGCAAGGAGTTGTGAGATTGTTCAGTGATGTTCAGAAGACATCCATTGGGACAATGGAAGCACAAAAAAGATCAGACAGCCCAACGATCATGTACATAAGCATAAGAACTATGTTCGTGTTATTCGACAAATTGAGTGTGACATTGTAGTGTGTTTTTGAATCCCCTTGTATAAATTCAAGGATTCGCCACTGCATAGGACCGTATAAAAAAGAATGATCAATTTTAAGATCTACAAAATGAAGTGCCTTAAATCATACAGGTACCAGTAACTAGGCTCACAAGATATACTCCAAGAAATGGCAATTTGTAAAAACTTAGAAACAAAGCAACTTGATATACTGGACTTCTATTGCTTACAATTTCCTATGTCTTGCTCTAATTTGAGATCTTTTCCTTTATTCAAAATAATTCTGATCGTCAATTCTCTCATATGTTTTCTGAACCTATAGAATAGATAAACACACAAGTATCTCATAAGAAAAGAGGAAAACATATATTGATTACACTTCACCTTATCAGGTTTACCCATCCATTTTACTTGACCGCCAAGTTTTTCATATGTGGCTGCCAATGTTCCTGGAAAACAAATCCAAGAGAAGGATCTCAGTCATGAATCTAGAAATGGAGAAAGACAAGATATAGGGTGGAAGGCTGTAATGATGCAGTTCAATGATAATTAAAAGGAAATGCATGAAATCAGTTGGTGTGAGAATTAGTGGAACCTTAAGAAAAAAGATATTGTCGTCTTAAACAGTTTAATAGATAAACTGAATGCTAATATCAATGCTGTATTCCTTGTTTTATCAAGATATGTGCCCTAAAGTATAAGGTAACTAAACTATCCAAAACATGAGTGCCAGAAAAACATTCTTACCGGGCATAACACGCAGAGCCCTAACCTCAACAGTTACAAAATCAGGATTTGCTACCACCATGGGAATTTTTTTAGCAGCACACTGCTCCAGTATTTTCTCAAGATCATCAAGTTTCATGGGAAGTGCGGCTCCAGAAGAAAGCCCCAAGGCTTCAGTTCCATGAGCCAAAATAAAATCGGCTTCCTGAGCATTTTCCACAACTTCTAGTCCGAGGCCCTAACAAAAAAACAAGTGCCACTTAGTGAGAAAGACAACATGTTCTTCAATTCAAACACTCATGAAAACAATGGAGACGGAAATGCAATTGAACCGCTTCAACATCAAAACATAAGAGCCACACTTGGACATTATTCTAAGGAACTTAGATATACCTCAAGAGATATAGCACCCCTGTCACTCCAAGTCATGTGAATACATGATCTTCCCAAGGAGGCAAACCAAGCGTCATCTCTCCTGCCCATAATCAAATGTAAAGAAACACATTCACTTACATATATGGGAAAAGCTAATGCAAATACCTTGTTAATTGACATTCTTTCATTTGGGATTGGGAATGAGGATAAAGTGAAAATAACAGAAAACTAATGAATGAATGATGCACTGGAGAATTAGTTACTTCACCATTTATAGTTGATAATCTGTAGTTCAATGCTCATCTAAACTGATAGGCACGACATGTGATTTCCTTAAGTTTCTGTTCAAAATAGTGACAGTTCTAGAAGACATTGCAAAATAAAAATGACATAATGTCAGGGATGAAGGAGAAAAGCAGCAGTGATAAATGTTGGTGGTGACTATGTGGGATGAGTCATTTAGTGGACGAAAATCAAGTGAGACACGCATAATACAAGAAAATTGAAGCACAAAAAATTCCAACATCTTTGTTGTTTGAAGTTATTTTTAGAAAGATCAACAGAAAGCAAGAGATTCTCACATAAGAGATCTATATGCAGCAGATATGCTAGTGAATAACTCCCAAATTGATGATCAATAGAAAGTTAGCAAAGAAATTATCATACAGGAAATCTACAGGCAGGCAGACATGCTACTGAATAAATCCCAAAATGACATCATAATATAATTTGTCCAGTATCTACATAAACATAAAATATGTAACCTTTGGAGATACTGATGTGTTAATTCCCCACTGGTAATGGCACCAATAAAGAGTGACGGATCAAATCCAAGGCTCCTCAATTTTTCCAGGGTTGTAGATGCTCTTCTTGAAGAATTACTAATGATTACCATCTTTGCACCATAAGTTGCCAACTTTTCCACTGCTTAACATCATTAGTTATCCACTAAGGAAAAACTAAAACAGTAAGGAACCACTGAAAGTATATATACTTATATAGACAAGCTTACCAAAATCTCAAAGCTAACAGATGAAAACGTACATGTCGAAATGGCACCAGGATAAGGTTGTTTCCCATCATGAAGCACTCCAAACTGATCCAGAAACCATGCCTGAAGACAAGTTACAGTTGAATCTTTAGAAAGATACATGAAAAATGGTTCACATGCTGAGTACATTAAAACCTTAGTTCAAACAGAATTCTTAGAAATGTGTAGATGCATCCAAGTATAACTAGATTTAATACCCTAAGGATCAACCATCATACTTGCAGCTCCGATGAGCGTCCCAATCCTACTATTGAATATTCCACATCGGTTGGGATTGGAGTATTGGACTCCTTATATGGTCTTGGACAATCCTTAGGGGTTGAGTTAGGCCAAGGTTCATTTCTTTATCATAACTTACCTACCTTAATTATTTTTTTACCCAGCACCTCGACTAATCCACCACAATATATACTTCAACCTACTTTAATAAACCCCCCTAACACGGTAAAATGATAAATAAAGTGGCATTCCAAGTCTAAGAAAACTTCAGGAAAAATATGTTCCATAGAAAAAGAAAATCACATCACATAGAGCACAAAGTTTGGAACTTTTGTATCCCATTTTAAATTTTTACTTGTTGAGGCAACATTAATGTTATTCCTAATCGACATTTCACCTATGTTCTTAATACAGTAGTTATAAACATGTTCCAAGAAAAATATCAGACTTTTTTACTGTCAACATTCAGTACCTTGAATCGGCGAGTTTCAGCTAGCTCTTGAATTCCATTCAAAGTTTGAAATTTTAGCTCGTTTGGCTTTGACGATTGAGCTGATACGCATCTTCCAATCATGGTTTAACTCCTTTCTCTGTATGTCTGAATTGCGATTGAGGTTTATTGTTCTTTTTGTCCAATTAGAAATTAGCCTATTCAGCCCCAACCCCTCCCCCCCCCCCCCCCCCCCAAACAAAAAAAAATTACCCGGAAAAAACATAAATAGAAAAAAAAAACAGAAAATTAATTCCTTAAGTAGTAAATTCGGAAAAGATATTGGAAGTTGATGAGTCGAAAATAAAATAACTAGGAGAAAAGGAATTTAGAATTGCCATTTCACCTTGCACTTCTTAGGTGCAGGTGGTAAATACTCAGTGGGCATTTGGACATAAGAATTGTGAAATTCCGGAAAAACGTGAATTTTTTTTCAAAGTAAAAATGATTTTTGACATATGGAGTTTGTTTGGACCTGAATATAATTGGAGTTGTTTTTGAATTTTTGTGAGTGATTTAAAATGAAAATTTTGAAAAATAGCTCTTTGTAGTTTTTAAAATTTCTGAAAAATTTCCTAATGCAACTTCATGTGAAATTTAAATTTTTTTATGGCCAAAGACTTATTCGAAAGTAAATTTTTTTAGGGATTTTTACATTCCTATATCATATAGGAAACCTTATTACCTTCAATGTTTAAGGTTAGATATAATTACATTTAGTGTACCAAATTACCAATTCTATATCATAGTGTATTTTAAGAGTACAATTAATACCGCATATATCCCTCCTTAATTCAAGGTACCAAAAATGGGCCGTTTTTTTTGTTGTGTATCTTTTAGCAGCTTCTCTCCTTCGTTTACATTAAACATATTCCTGAATATATTCCTTCTCCCTCCTTCTTTCACTATTTTCAACTTCCCCTTCACCGTTTCTGAAACTTTGACCCCAATTTCACTGCAAAACATCAAAATAGGAAAATATTTTTATTGTTTTCTTAAAGAAGGAAAAAGGAAAAGAATGAACTAGATGTAAATAGACATATATCATGCTCACGAATTCTATAAGCATAACTTTTTGCCTTCTTTCCCAACTTCCTCTTCTGTATAATTATAGCAGAATCATCTTGACCTGCAATTAATATCAATGTATAAAAGAGTTAGGAAAAATGAGTTTTGTTTAATTTTCCTATTTTTCATAAATATTCTGGACATACTTGGTTTTGACTGAAATTCAGATTGAAACTCGAAGAAGAAGAAGACATATTGCAGAAATTGTAGATAAATTGTAGAACAATTGTAGATAAATTGTAGATAAAATGTAGACTGTTTTTTGCAGAAGATTTTGTAGAAGTTTTAGTCGTTTTGGATTTGTGAAAACAGAAAACAATGCATCTACAATCAGAATACAAATAATCTACAATTTATCTACAAAATATCTACAAACTGGATACATTGAATTTTAATATCCCAATTCCCATTTCAATTGTAGATAATTTGTAGATATAATAAAAATTTTGTAGTCATCCATTTTAGGATGTCAGACATTTTTTGAAATCAACAATTTCTAATCATAGATTGTAGTTTATTTTGTCGTATAAATGTAGTAACTTCGTAGATAATTTTGAAAACAACATTGCTTTATTCTTTCATTAAACTGATTTGTAGTTTAATTGTAGGCAAATGTAGTAATTTTGTAGATAATACCGTAAAATCATAATTCTATGCAATTTTGAACTATACAAACCTGCACTTGTGTTATCGTTGGTGATTGCCAATTCCATATTGAAATCTCGTACACTTATACATAACGGATATGAACCTAAGTTTTTATTCTCCTTTTTGGTCTCCATATACACACGAACCCCCATATCATTCTAAATTTTTTCGTTTTTTTGGATTTCTAGATTGAGAGAAAAAAAGGTGAAGAACAGATATATGATCGCCAATTTGATTTCTGAAAACGACAAAAAACAGAATATAGCAATTTTGAGTTGTTGAATCTCGAAGATTTGAATTCTACAATTTGAATTCAGTTTGTTGAAGCTGTTCGTACTTTTTTTTTGTTAAATTTTTGAATTGTAGTTTAAGAGTAAATTACGCAGATGCGAAATCTCCTTTCCGTTTCAAAACTTGAATTTAATGTAGAATAAATCAATCCCAAGATTCTTTCCTGATTTTTCGCGCGTTATTAATGGACGATTCTGCCCTATTAATTCCTAATAAACGAATGGTACAGAAATTGTAGGAAAAATGTGGACTGGGCGGGTAATTTAGATACTATGCACATATTTGATAATAAGGTTTCATATATGTTATAGGAAGGAAAAAGTCCCTTTTTTTTAATTGGCCAAACGGGCCCTTATTTACCCGTGAAAACACCATATCATCTAATTTAATGTTAGTACTTAAAAATTAAAGCAAAATATATATTAATTGACAATGATTAAGTGATAAATATTTATATATGAAAGGCATATGTCTTGCATCACAATAAAGTTTTTCATCTTAATTACACTAAGGTCTTCCAATCATTCAACCCAGAATTTAGAAGTCAAAAAGAAAAATATTGGCATGAAATACTTTTTTTTTCATCAACGTGAAAATACTTTCTAGAGAATAAAAAGAATGCTTTAAAAAAAATGAACCTTTAGTTTCAAATTTTCCTTGTTTTCAGTTTGAATTTTTTGTTATCAATGAGTTCCAATAAGTTTTTTTGTTTGTCTTATTGTGAGCACGTGATTTTTGCCCTATGTGAATTATTCCCAAAAATTCAAACAAAATGATTTTCTTTCATTATTTTACAATTTTGTGAATTTTGTGTTATTTTCTGTTAATTGTTTGCATTTTATTTGTGCATTTTAATTCATATGAAAAATATAAAATAAAAAAAACATGCTTGACATTTGCATTTAGGATCTAATTTCATATTTTAGGATTAATTAGTAGTTACGTTGTTTTTAAAACAAAATATAAAGAAAATAACAAAAATAGTCCATTTTGCATTTTTAATTGTTAATTGTTGAATTTGTCATGAGTTTACTTTTAAATAGGACTTAATCAATTTTTGGGAATTAATTAGCTTAACTTTGGAAATAAATTAGATCTTTATTTTAATTTTGCATTTTTATAGGATCAGAAAAATACAAATACAAAATGAGAACAAAAAGGAAATAAAAGAAAACAATTAAAAAGAAGGTATTAATAAAAGACCCCGAATTGGGCCAAGTTTGAATAAATAACACTAGCCCAGGTTAAAGCCCCAAATCCACGCCAATTTAGCCCAACCCGCCTCAGGAAACCCGGTCCAG